CTCTCCGATTGTGCCTTGAGGACTTGGGCTTTGATGGCAGCAGTCTGGGCTTCTCTTTTAGCAAGTAGTTCTTTCTGCCTCTTAATTTTTCTTGCTTTTTTTGGACTTAGAAGACCATTCTAAGAAACATACAGTAATACATCAGAGATATCGCGAAGCCTGTTACGCGAGACGTGGTCTGGCGTACATATAGCTAGTTATTATAATTATTATTTATTGGCCAATTTGTTACAATACATGGTATTTTATAGCCTATGTCAGTGTAATGAAAATTGATAATATCTATCAGGAGTAGACACTATAGTTGAGGATAAATGGTTTTTGAATTTCAGATTTCTTCTTTTTGCCAATCTCCTGTTGAAAACTCTTCTAGTGTATAAAATTCCTTGCTTTAGACCCACTTCTTCACTTCCTTTTTAAAACTTCGTATATCCTCTTTTTCTTTTAGAACTTTTGGTAGTTTGTTAAAAATTGGAATAGATCTTTTGAGTGGCATTCTGCTTTTCCCATCTTCACAGTGCATGTTTTTTCTGTTTCTTGTGTCATGCTTATGTATCTGGTCATTTCTCTTGTCTTTATGTTCTTTTTTTGCTAGAGTAGCCATTCTATATATGTGTATCAAAATACTATACAACCCCCCTCCCACTCACTCACTCACTGACTGACTCATTGATATAAATGTTTAGCCAGCAGATAACGTACATAGGCAGGCCCTTTACAAAGTACACAATGGTAAAATGGTTGAGGGAGAGTAGAGCCCACCACCCAGTCCAAACCAAAACGACGATGGCCGGAGAAGGTATACAGTAACGGATCTGCCATAAGGACACAGGCAACACAAATGGTGACATTGGCGCCCCAAAAATCCCATGCGTGGTACAGGAATTGGAAGATACAGACGAGATCCATGATGGTCAGACGCAGAACTTACAGGGACTAGATGGTGGCGACTGCGGGGGCGTAGATGGAGGAGATGGCGGGAAGCCGAGAGGGTTAAGGTGGAAAAGCAGCTACAGAGAGAAAGGAAAATAAAAGAAAAAAAAAGGATATAAAATACGTCGAGGGACGTATCGTGAAAGCAGATGATACAAATTTAAGGATATGTCTGTGCCCTAATTTTCTCTCATATTTTGCTGT